AATCCAACGAAAATAAATAATTGGTAAATAACAGCTTTCTTGTATGCAAAGAAAAAAAATTAAAAATGTTAAAAAAGAGATGTCGACACAAAATTACATAGCCCCTTCAATTCTGAAGATACTACAAACGAACTGTACCTTAACATTTTCATATCCCAGAAGCAAAAGTTCCCATGACGAATATTGCTATCGCTAGCGATTGCAAAAACCAACTTGTTATGGATTTACGAATACTTTTTCCGAGCTTATCAGGTGATTTTTGGCATTTTAATACTTAAAGCAATATTTCTCATGTTTTTGAGTGAAATTTTGATCAGGTGCCTTATATCAGCGGACCATTCTTATCGCACCTAGTGGTCCATTGGACAGCTTTCACTATCAATAGCATGATGACGAATCATTCAAACTTGGATATAGATCACAATTTTTATAGCCCCAAAGCAAATGGAACAATATAGCATTTTCGGATTATTTCAAGTGCCTCGTTGAGTTTAAAGCAGAAAATGCGATACCCACATTTCTCTAAAAAAAATATGAATAAATTTTAGTCCCAACGAGGCCGGATCAGATTTTAATAATTTAAGGTTGCTTTAATAAATGACTGAAAGAAATTTCCGTCAGAGATCTATCAAAGATTTCATCCAGAAATAAGAATAAGTTGCAGGCCTTTCTCACATAAAACTTGTAGATCATTCTGATGCCCGATGAATGTAAATCTTTACGTCCGCAAAAGGCGCTCGTCAGTCGGAGCAGCGCTGATGGTAATCATGAACATTGTAACCCGACCGCAAATAATTATTCCAATTTATTTTATGCGCTTCCAGTTTGGACCGAAAATTTTTCCGCGCAATTTGCGTGACTTCGTAATTGGCCTACTCTCTTCCTCCATTTTTAGGGCGAAATCAATGGAACCTTCGGAAATGTTGAGTTTGAGTGATTCGGAAAGAGAAGAATATTTGACTGCATAATCGGTGCGCGCCGCCTTGGCTAAAATATTCAAATGAAGTCTATTAATCATCAATTTCCATTCGGTAACGTCTAGCAGCTGATCGAGCGGTTCCTGAAATTCTTTTGTGACAGCATACCGTTGCTAATTCGAAGTTCTGATCGCGGTAATCTTTCGCTTTTTTCGCCCACTCATCACGATTCAAATCCAAAAATTAAGATTGACGCCGGCAAAAGTAATGACCTACGTGACATCTTCAACAGACACAAGGGACGTTCAAGTTCAAGTTTTATGTAACATTTTTCCCCCTTCTTCTTGTGTTCCGTTGTATTTCGTTACCTTCCTGACAAAAGGCAAAACTTTACCCTCTACACGACGCTCATACATTCAATGCTTTTCCGGACTCATCTCAATGTGTAGTTACGCCCTTTTCGTTGTAACCCAAACGAAGAAACGTAACTCAATCCCAAGATTTCAAAATTTACAAAAAAATTCCATTTCCATTTTTTACAAGATGTACTTGTGCAATATTTGTTTAAAATTTTCCTGCTTTTTGCTCAAGAACTTAAGAAAAATCAGTAAAATTATCAGTTAGGAATGCTCGAGAGTCTTCCGGTAAAAATGTAATTTTCCAGGAGAAAGACAACATTAAAATTTAGTTGTGTTCTTACGAGAGGGTAACAACGTCTTGCCACTGGGCGACGATTTGTACAGCAGACTCACCCCCAAAGAATTGCCGAAATGATGAGCTAAACCCACCCATTTTTGTTGGTTTTTCATTGGGACCAAAAGTGTTTAAAAAATGTGTCCGCTCTTGAATATTGAGCAGCTTCACCAGTTTAATCGTTCCATAACGCTTTGTCCCAACCGTTTTCCCGAGCATCGTAATACTGATATGGAATCCATTCCCCTCTTTATACTATACGTAAGGCTATTACACTGTTGGTTTTGGATACTGTCAAATTGTTTTGTTACGCTTTCATTCGTTTTAGATATAAACTAAATAATCTGATTAAATTTTTAGAAGTTTGCTTTTGAGAGAAAGAATTGCTATTTTCATTTATACTCGGAGAAAGTATCATGAGAGAAGTTATTTGCTGTTGGATTCTGTCCTTAACGATGACTTTTAGAGCTACCGCCGGTCGCTAGTATGAATAAATATTCCTTTTGAGAAAAATTGTGGTAAAATTGGTCGTAAATCATTTGGAGCATTAACCGTTAGAATTTCGGATCTTAGGTATTGTGCTTTTTTCCTCACCGAGGTTGACCACTATTCTGAGTGGAGTCTCATCTTTTCCCCACATTAAAATTTAAATACATTTGTGAACCCGCTTCGAAAAGTTGAAAAAGTTATAATTCGTGTCATACGCAGGGGGCATGTTGTACATCAGAGCGACTTACTGTCGGTCGATTCAATTCGTCGCCTACCTGACATAAGGGCGTAACTGCACTATGTGCAATGAACCCTGTCCTTCATACGTTTCAATGCTTTCCCGGGCTCATCTCAATGTGTAATTACGTCCTTATGTCAGCTAAGCGACGAATTCTGCGATTGAATTTACGCAATGAGGCAGAGCGAGAGGGATTAACCAAATGAATAACGCTTATTAATAGACGCATGGTTCACACCGCTGGACATCTGGTATCGGCGACTACAAGTCACGACGAAGCTTTATGAAAGACCGAGTTTACAGACGGCTGTTTGGACAGAATGCAACAGAGAAACACAATCAAGTACGTTATTTTTAAACGATTTCCGCGACAAAATTTCAGTCAGAGACCTCTTTAAAAGGTGGTATCAATAGCTGAATATCTAGGTTTTTGGTGCTAAGGACCAGAAGTGTTACATAGGGAAAACCGGGGGCTGCAAACCCCCCCCTTCTCCTTCATTCTAAAGTTTACTCTCTTAAGGGACTATTTGGACCGCGTTTAACAGAACGGGACCAAGCCACATCAGCTATTGCCAAATTTCATGGGGCAATTTATTTTTTTACAAGAAAACAGTTGTGTGGATTTTCGTGTAAATTTCAGTGGACTTTCTACACAGTGCGAAGCAAATTCCTTAACATTTCCAAAGGGATTTGCGCACACGTTTTCTCGTGAAAAATTTAATTGCCCTGTTAAATTTGGTAATAGCTGATGTGGCTTGGTTCCTTTTTGTTAAACGCGGTCCAATATCGGTCATTACTGAGTATTAGTACGGCGTTTTAGGAGATGTTTCGACAATATCGCCTCCCCACGCGCTAATTTCGATGTATTTAAATCAAAAGGAACTATATCCACTCCGACTGAGCCTTGAGATCCATAGGAATACATGCATGGTATGGCTCATGTCAAAATGGAGATAGTTCCATTTTCTTTAAATGCGTCCTTTTGGTTCCCTATGAACAATTTCCTCCCCCACCCCTTAGTTTTGATTGAAACATCGCCCCTGGTTTTTTTTTTCTTGCAAACGGTCCGATATATCTAAAATGTTGTAGCCAGTACTATCATTTTGCCAGGCAACTATACCTGGAGGACAAAATTTCTGTTCCAAAGACTGAACTTAGTTCAAATGGACCCAAGTTTTCGGTAATAGAAACCAAACTCTTTGATAAAGAATGCAAATCTTAGTATAGCTAACAAAAACTCATTCCGTGAATGGAAGTTCAAGTTACCAGAACTAAAAACTTTCGTGTGCTATAAAAACTAAAGTTTTTGAGCCTCCGCAGAGGGTTATGCTTATAATAGATTAGCAGTCAAATTCAAGTGACTAGAGTGTTGGTGATTTCGCCAACGTGCGTTCAAAATTTAGTCAAATCTTCAGGTCCGACCACAGTCCAGACCAGAAACGCGTCTGCAGTTTCCTCTCTCTGATTGGTCGTGACTAGTGTTTCACCAAATAGCATAACTCTTTTAAGCTGGTCGAGTGAGCTTTTGCTCTCTATAGAGAGAAGAAGCTCATTATAATTTTTTTTTTTTTTTTTTTTTTTTTTTTTTTTATTGAAATACAAGAATACAACAACAGCTAGAGGGGTATCCGTCCTTTGACATAATCTGTTCCCTCTAAGCACTACAAGCTCATTATAATGGAACTGCAGTTTTAGACTGATTTTGAGTTTTGAACGCACGTTGGCAAGATCTAGGGTTGCCACATAATTTGGAAAATTAAATTCCCTGACATTTTCCTGATTTCCCTGACACATTTTGGTAAAATTCCCTGACGATTGAACAAATGCCAGATTTTTAAAAAGACATAGTTAGAAATAGTTTTCAGGTAAAATTTGTTGTTTGAAACGTCAACCTCGCTCGAGGAAGCATATAAAAGTAATTTAACGATTTTCCCCTGACATTTTCGTCTTTTTCCCAAATATTTCCAGGTTTATCCTGACTTCTTAGATGTCCCTGACATTTTCCGGAAATCCCTGACTGTGGCAAGCCTGCAACACTCTTGTCAAAACGACGCGTTCAAGTCAACCCGCTATCACCAATGGCAGATCCAGCAAATTGGCAACATTGATTTTCCCCTTTTAACATATGGAAATGCACCGATTCTTGGAGGGGCCAGGTGCTCCAACTGGAATCGATTATTCAACATAGGTTTAAATGGGGGGATCCGGTGTTGCCAAATTGCTGGATCCGCCTCTGGCTATCACTTTTTGTTAAATGCAAGTGCGTTTACGATGAGGATAAAGTACAAAAACATAGCCCGAATATACGAATAAAGAGGAGATTTAATTAAAGTATGGGTAAGCAAGGCTAGAAAAGTATTAAAACACTAAAAGGCAGGACGTTTCGAGCTGTTACCAGCTCATTTTCAGCTGCAAAAACACATAAAAACAAGTAAAAAATTGAGTGGCGACCCGACCCCAGCCGTTATCATTCCAGTGGTTACGTGATAACGGCTAGGGTCAGGTCGCCACTTAATTTTTTACTTGTTTTCATGTGTTTTTGCAGCTGAAAATGAGCTGGTAACAGCTCAAAACGTCCTGCCTTTTAGTGTTTTAATAATTTATTAGCCTTGTATACCCACATTTTAATTAAATCTCCTCTTTTACGATGAGGTAGCACTTACTTTGCATGGCCCACAGCGTGAGGTTCTTGAGGTGCTGCTGGTAGATCTCGCTCTGGGCGTTGCACTCGGGGTTGCCCGTGGCGCGGGGGCGGAACTCCGCGAGTTTCTCGGCGAGGAGCTGGGTGATCCAGACGGAGCGCGCGGCCCGCGGGACGGCCGGGGCCTCCGGGGACTCCCGCTTGGTCCTCGGCTTGACGTCGGGCTTCGTCTTCGGGCTCAGCTCCAGGTCGAAGAAGATCTCCTCGACGCTCCGGTGGAGGCTCCCGTTCGCCGGCGTCGCGTCCGTCGTACCGTCCTCCCCGACCACGAAATTGGACGCCAGCATCGAGGACTCGAGGAACGCCGCGTCCAGCGGGTGGACCGTATCGCCGCGGGAGATGGGCGGCCCCAGGGTCGCCAGCCAGAAGATGGCCGCCGCCAGGAACACGCCTACCGAGGGCACGCGACGCGGAAACATCCGGTACATCGTCCGATTCTCGGATCGCGAGGAATTTTCCCGGGAGTATCAAATTATAAAGGACGAAGATCGAACGATTCTCAGGCGAGTGACGGAAATCGCAATTTCCCTCGAACTTTCAGGGGGAAAAAACACGAATGGACTCCGGAAATTGCTGTAGATTTTGGTGTAGCACCGAACCTGGTTCCTTGAAGCCTCGCCGGGATCGAATCGACGGAAAACGTAAGGAACGAAATGAAGATGAACCAAAACAAATTTAGCCGGAGAATCTCGCGGTGAAAGAGCACAAGTCGGGATCTTGGTGTCTCGTTAAAACGAACGGTTGAAATCGCACAAATTCTGGAGTAAGACTACCCGGTCGCACTGAACTGAAGCACTCGGAAACCCGTCACAATTCCTGCCGCAAACTTCTCTTCCTTCACACAACTCGAAAAAAAAAAACGAACGAGGAGAACTAAAAAAAAAGAGTTGGGTTAAACTGAAGCGAAATTGGGGTGGCGGAGCGTCGTGCCGCTGGTGGGAAGCACCGGTGGAAATCCTCTGGGCAACTGAAGAACGGCGGCGGTAGAGGCGGCCGTGTGCCGGGTCCCGCGGCCGGGAAATCGCGAGAGGACGACCTTGGACTTGAGCCGCGGGACTCCGACCCGGGCGGCCCGCCGCGGCGCGGCGCTTCATTTGCAATTTTCGCGGATCCGCGGGCCGCATCGCGGTTAAGTGGCGAACGCCCCAAAATCGTATCACCGAGGGAAATTTTGTATCGGACTCATGGAGTAAGAATTTGTGACTAGAGCTGCAGGCCCGCCACAAGGGGGGGGGGGATACTGGGTCCCTGATACCGGGGCCCGTGTTACCCGTGAAAAACCACTACGAATTCACATGAAACCCTTGTTTCGTAAGAAAAAGTGAAAAATTTACCCTAAAAATTTCGCAAAAGGTGAATAGATTTTCAGAAACACGCTGGGGCACTGTAGAATTCTTCTTAAATTTTCAAAGAAGTATACTTCTTGGAAAATTTCTATCTATTTTCAAGATTTTCAGTATAGAGGGATATTTTTAGTAACTGCGTTTCATTTTCTTCCGTCGTCAGATGCTAAGAGTCTCTAGTTTGGGCATCCTCAACTTCAACGGCTCATGGCTCAACTCCCTTGCCATAGACAAACGAAGGGGGAGTCCAGGGGTGCCTGGTCCTCTTAGAACTGAAATAGTATCATATGCCCCCCCCCAAAAAAAAAAAAAAAAATTCCAGATGTTTCGAATGCAAAAATTCGCAAGTATTTTGTGCTGAAAGTATAAAAAAAACATAATTATTCCGAAGAAATTGATGGAAAAATTATTTATGGAAGCTTCAAAATGCGTCCGATTAGTCGTATAAATTCTAAAATTTCTCGGGGGATGCCCCTCGGACACCCCCCCCTCTGTGCTTGGGGCCCGGACCTTAAAACCGGTACCAGGGCCCGAGATGGGAAGTGGCGAGCCTGCATGAAGGATATTTCCATTTAAATCTTCCGTCACATTCTTACGGCGCAATGATACAACTATTTGAACTCTCCGGAATGCGTGAGGTATCACGCCGCATTTGAAGGCGTTTTCAAATCAGCCTAGTTCCGATACCCGGATTATTTTGCATAGTTCATAGTATTTTGTTTTCATTTCTAACCACTCGTCTATTTTTAATCCTCTTAGAAAAACCACCAGTTTGCTAAATACAATTCTAGCTGGAGCGCACTTCAGCTATGCATTCACCACTGCAAAAATGTCAAAGGAAATCGACACGCCCAGCCTGCAAGGAGGCTATTTCCATTTAAATCTTCCGTCACATTCTTACGGCGCAATGATACAACTATTTGAACTCTCCGGGATGCGTGAGGTATCACGCCGCGTTTGAAGGCGTTTTCAAACGTTTTCAGACCCATGGGCGGCAAGTAGGTAAATCCGGCCATGCTTAAGTTTGAGAATTCATCTCAAAATATGAAAAGGAAGATGAAGGAAGAGAGCCATGCCAAAACGATATTACTCTTCGGTGACTGTCTAATAATTTCATAACCCGGACCTACCCACACGGGGGGCGGAAGGGAGGCTGCTGGGACTCTAGGCCAAGGGTCCGATTGCCTTTAAGGGGCCCTCAGAGGTACCTAATTTATACAGAACTGTTTTGTTTCTACAACGATTGTCAGAAACTCATGCAACCCTCTTGACTTATAAGTTTTGCGCTAGAACTCTGCCTCTTTTAATTCCTTATGTATACTTTCGACTTTTTTATGGTTTTTCTTCACTAAATTTCAATCCACCTCGGTTGTATAGGCATGGTTTACACTAGATTTATTGATTCACCGCAGTGGTTCCAAGCTTTCTTGCGCATTGTTGCATTTAAATTATTATTTGGCCTCGTAACTAGGTATACGATTGAGTCGATTTGTTATGAACAAAATCTTGGGCACTTTTAAGACTCTGGTTTATAGTTTGAATTGCAAAATTGTGAGCCACCGATTGAAATCTCATAAATCTGCGTCCATCTGGATTTGCGTGAAGTGAGCCTTAATGACATGGAAGTCAATTTTTCAAGTTTGAACTTCCGACAGCTGCGTTCTTTTTTTGAGACTTACCCACATGAATATCAATGGAATTTCACACATCTCTAAATACGAGTAATTTGATATCCTACGCAGTAAGTCACAACGCCCAGCGCCATTGTCTGCGAATTACTGCAGCTTGGAGCATCAATATGGTCCCCATAACTCAGTTTCTAGGTCAAGCTGTGGTCTGTTGAGTAGTGATCACTCATGGATTGCAGTTACTTTTGAGCATTTGTTCATAAATTCAGATCTAGTCAAAAAAGTTTGCCATTATTCATGCAAAGCTGGAACGGGTCTACTTGCAAATTTTACGAGAGTATAATTCTCGGAAAATACCACCACACCATCTTGCACATAATGTGAAAGCTAATTTACCACGGCTACACACAGCTGCATTTTGAAACAAACAACTTGCATCTTGATCTTAACGAAAAGTTTGTAATGCATGATGAGTAGGTGACAGGTTATAGCGAGAATAATTTCAGAAAAACACGGCAACTGAACTCTTGTTCCACATTTTAGGGAAGGTGACGGTGGTTTTCCCTGAATTCAAGAGCGAAAATATGATTTGGTTCGAAAAATTATTCATAAATTTAATGACCTGATAATGCAGCTTTTTCGAGATATTGCGGGTGCTTGATCTCTTCAATTCAGAGCTTAGAATGATAATAAACTTAAGCAGTTTGAAAACTGCTAAATCGAACTCTGAATCACACGAACAACGTACGAGATTAGATTTGTTTTCAGTCTCATAATACAGATTGACGATGTGCAGTGCACTGCAAAATGCGTACCTCGGTTGCCGTGTTCCAAAATCTCCGCCGCTATATTATTTTTTAAAAGGAGGCCGAAACAACATAGCTCTCTATCATTTTCACTGAATATTCTTCACCTAAAAAGGAAAAATCACCAAATTTTTCAGAAGGTGACGTTCAGTAGTTTTCCATGTAGAAAATAAAGTATGACAGAGTCGAAAATGCTTCGATCCAAAGTAAGAAATTCTGCAGTTTCACCATCGATGTGTCACAGGCAACTAACAATCGCCAGGAATTTGCATGTGGCTTGTATGCACTTGTAAACTTGGTAAATTGCAATAATACGTATCGTCATAAGGCAGGTCATACTGATATGGACCTTTAATAGCATGATCTCTGCTTAAAGCGCCTTCATTTACGCGTGATACTCGACGCTTTGTCACGCTGTTAGTTTAGTGGCCTATCCCACCCAAACCTGACTAAGGTCACTAATTTCACCACATTCTCACACAAGTGTGATAGTTGCTACCATGTATTCACGAAGGAAAATAATCAGAAATATCTCCCTCTTACTTTCATCCTGAAATTCGACAATGAAACTACCAGATCATATGCCTCGGTTTAAGACGTGTCAGACTTCCTACCATACTATATTTTTTAAAATGAAAACTACTTAACGTCAAGTCTTGAAAAACTAACTTGATTTTGCTTCTCTGTGCAAAATAAACTCTGTGAATACTTTAAGGAATGCTATTGATTTGTTCCCTTTTAAAAAAATAAAATGGGAGCGGAGATTTTTAAACGCCGCGAACGAGATACCTGGTCTTGCAGTTTCACTATCGATTTACAATACATCTGTCACAATTATAACCAGTGGCCTGCAAACGTATAGTAATTGTTGATTGTCTGCAACCCATGTAATGTGACAAATGAAAAATTCAAAGGATCAAAACAACATAGCAAATGTCGTGAGACAGTTGAATCACTTTCTGTTAGACAAAGGCAAGTCCAAAAACTCATGAACCCTGGTTTCCGTTGATCACGCAGAACGCCACGGCTCATGTGTTTTGAACTTACCTCTGTCTGACAGAAACCGATCCAATTAGCTCTCGGTTCCATTTTGACTACTAAAGTCTGAAAGTACTTACCTCAATCACTGCGTTACAAAATCTCCGTTTGTATTTTATGTTAATTTTTTAGGGAAATCCAACGAATATTATGGCTTGGCTTCTTACGGAATAATTATAACAAAGTAAAGACTGTTATTGAAAATTTCAAGAAATAACATTGCTTTATCTGAAACAAAAAAAATAAAATACATGAGAAAATGTACAACGTCGCATTTTTAGATATATAATAAGTCCCCTCAGAATCAGTCACCAATTTGGCGCTTGAACAGCTCTGCCGTGCTAAGGAAGAACGCCGTATGACCATTCGAGAGTTGCCAAATTTCCTTCGATAAAATGTTCATTTTTGAGGAAAATTATGAATATTTCTCATTGAAATTTTCAGAAGTTTTAGATCAAATTACAAACAAAATTATCTGAGAAATTGGTGGACAAAAATTATAGTGATTTGCCAGGAGAAATTTGGCAACGCCTGAAGGTTCATGCTGCGTTTTTCCTTAGCATGCGGCAGAGCTGCCCACGTTATCGCGCAATACGCATCCGTTTGGCGATGTTCCAATATATTTCAGAAATCAATTCTGCCGTCGAAATCACGTCTGGTAAAACACTGATAGGTGCTCCACAAACTTACTTTACAATGCTAATGCCCCCAGCAAAGCCGACAAATTTCCAGCCTATTACGCAACGTTAAGCTCGTCAAATAAAAAGCTGTCAAGAGACGAAGCTTCCTCGAGAAAATTCCATCTCAGTGGCGTGGCGTGAATTGTGATATATCGATTGTTATGCCACTTAAACCTATGGAAAAAGATCGATAAATAGGGTGTTCGCAGCGAACACCTTAATAATCGATTCTTACCATAGCTTTAAATGACATAACAATCGATATATCGCAATTCACGCCACGCCACTGACTACTCAATCAATAATTCGGAGTTAAAGCTGGACCTCAGTTCAGACGACAATGAGGAGTGGGTATAAATCAAAATGCACGTCTGAATGATTATTCTCAGCTTATCGTGTTGTTATGGATTGATCATAATTAAATACTAAACTCGAGAGAATATAGAGAGCCTCACATCCGACTACCTATCCAAAGTGAATTTAAGAATTATATATTA